CTTCTTGGGAGCACTTACAGCATCACTAGTGGCGCTTTATGTACCACAGTGTTATTCAAGGTTTATGGTAGTACACTCAACACAACTAAAAATACACAGCAACCCTGATGGATCACTTTTTACTATGATACACAATTTACTGGAGAGACAACTGCTCTTGTGGAGATGATTAACAACACGAAGTGTTTTAAGTGGATACTCTTTTTTTTTTTTGAGACAGAGTCTTGCTCTGTCACCCAGGCTGAAGTGCAGTGGCGCCATCTTGGCTCACTGCAACCTCCACCTCCCAGGTTCAAGCAATTCTGATTCCTCAGCCTCCTGAGTAGCTGGGATTACAGGCATGTACCACCATGCCCAGCTAATTTTTGTATTTTTAGTAGAGACAGGGTTTCACCATGTTGGTCAGGCTGGTCTCGAACTCCTGACCTCAGGTGATCCACCTGCCTGAGTCTCCCAAAATGCTGGGATTACAGGCATGAGCCACAGCGCCCGGCCCTTAAGTGGATACTCTCAAAACACTTGAACTCACTGCAATAGCAACAAGAGGTGCCAGGAAATTAGTACAGCAGTATAGTATGTATGAGTTACACACAGTTATGATTTAATGCTGCATTTTTATGTTTGTTTCAGTTTCTCTCGACTGTGAATGGTGCCATCGTCTGTGTTTTTGTGTGTTTTGATAAATTTTAACTTTTTATAATACATTTGTGGGGTGGGCACAGTGGCTCACACCTGTAATCCCAGCACTTTGGGAGGCTGAGGATCACCTGAGGTCAGGAGTTCAAGCCCAGCCTGACCAACATGGTGAAGCCCCGTCTCTACTAAAAATACAAAAATTAGCTGGGTGTGGTGATGGGCGCTTGTGATTCCAGCTACTCAGGAGGCTGAGACAGGAGAATCACTTGAACCCAGGAGGCAGAGGTTGCAGTGAGCTGAGATCATGCCATTGCACTCCAGCCTGGCCACAAGAGCAAGGCTCCATCTCAAAAAAAAAAAATTATATTTGTATATATCTTATGGTATTAAATGATAAAATAGATTAGTATCTACATATTTTATGCATTCGGCATGCCTTTTTCTTAATTTTCCAATATTTCTAGGCTATACAGTTTATCTGTGTTTTTTAAATTATCGCAAATCTCCAAAACATTTTCCAATCCAAAACGTAGAGAAAAAAACCCATGTATAAGTGTATGCACAGAGTTCAAACTTGTGTTGTTCTGGGCTCAAGTGTACTATCTTTCCCAAGAAATACCTGAATGGAAACACTAATGGTAAAAAGTCTATCTCCTCAGTGTCACCAGATAGACTCTTCAAGGAATAAAACCTTCTCAGGTGTCAATGTTCTTCGGGCAGAGATCTCCAGGAATGCATCTGTAGTTAACCAAGTTGGAATTATTTCTGGTTGCAGTGAGGAGGAACACACACCTCGAGGAAGCATGGGCTACCGTGTTAAGAGGGTGTTAAGAAAGAACATAGTATAGGATTTGGGCTTTGTGATAATTTGGGGGAGAGTCTAAGGAAGCGGGACTATGCTCTAGATTGGATGCAGGCAGAAAGCTGGGCCAAGTCTATGATTGTGTCAGCAGGGAAATGTATCCGAGACACATAATATATGTGTCACATCAAAATATGTTACCAGTGGCAAATCCCTACGGGTCTGCAGCAACCTCAATTCTGGCCTCCTCAGAATAAAGGATTCAACTGAGGGGCATAAGGCAGAAGGAGAGACCAAGGCAAGTTTTAGAGCAGGAGTAACAGTTTATTAAAAGCTTTAGAGCAGGAACGAAAAGGAAAGTATACCTGGAAGAGAGCCAAACAGGCGACCGGAAAGGCAAATATGCAGCTTGATATTTTGACTTGGGTTTGGTTTTGTTTTGTTTTGAGGCAGATGCTTGCTCTGTTGCCCAGGCTGGAGAGCAGTAGCGAGATCTTGGCTTACAACCTGCACCTCCCAGGTTCAAGCAATTCTCATGCCTCAGCCTCCTGAGTAGCTAATTTTTTTTTTTTTTTTTTTGGTATTTTCAGTAGAGATAGGGTTTCACCACATTGGCCAGGCTGGTCTCAAACTCCTGACCTCAAGTGATCTGCCCGTCTTGGCCCCCCAGAGTGGCTGGGATTACAGGCGTGAGCCACTGTGTGCCTGGCCTTGGGGTTTTATACATTGGCTTACTTTTGGGGTCTTGCATTTCTTCTTCCCTGATCCTTTCCTTGGGGTGGGCTGTCCGCATTCGCACGCTTGAGCCCACTCACCCAACTCTCCTGAGATCTCACTGGGAAGCTGCTGATCACTAGTTTCAGGTGTTTTCTATCTGGAGACGCCTGGTTCCTGGTGCCCGCTGTGACCAATTATTATTTTAGTGAGACAGTTAACAACCTCTTGACCATCACCTGATGGTTGCCTGACTAGCTACCCACTGTAACAAGATTCCGATCGTGGGCATCTCAATTTTATCTATATAGAGAAGAGACTAGCATGAGAATAAAGTTGTAATTTGTAAAGAAGTAGTAGTTATTTGTTTTGGTCAAGAAAAAGGTGTTGTATTTTGCAGTCGGTAAAGTGACCTTTTTTGTCTGTAGTTAGAAAAGCTTAATGAAGTGGTTTTTTTTTTATCATTGTATCGTGATTTCAGAGTGACCTTGTCTGAGGTTGCGATTTTGTGAGATTATTTCCATCCAACAGGAGAGTAACAAGACCTAGCTGTGAGTGCTGGGCCAGCTTCAGAATGTTAAGGACTCTTTCCTTTTTCTTTCTTACATGCTATTTTTATAATAAATTTTTCATTCAAATATAAGATACATACAGAAAAGTACATAAATTATAACAGGAGTTTGAGACCATCCTGGCCAACATGGTGAAACTCCATCTCTACTAAAAATACAAAAATTAGCCAGGCGTGGTGGCAGCCACCTGTAATCCCAATTACTCGGGAGGCTGAGGCAGGAGAATTGCTTGAACCTAGGAGGTGGAGGTTGCAGTGAGCCGAGATCGCGCCATTGCAGTCCAGCCTGGGCAACAAAGAGTGAGACTTCGTCTCAACAACAACAACAAAACAACAAAGAAACAACATATCCAACATTTAGAAGTCCCCTTCATGCAGATCACCAACCCTAAGGTCACCCACTCTCCAGACCCTAACACCACAGATTAGTTTTGCCTGATTTTGAACTTTTTATGACTAGAAACATGTAATATATACTTTTTGGAGTATAGGCTTCCTGGATTCAACATGATGTTTGAGATTCATTCACGTTGTTCTGTGTCACTGTAATTAGTTCATTCTCACTGATGAACAGTATTCCATCACATAAACACACCACAGTTTATCCATTCTAGTGTTGATGGACATTCGGGAGCTTCCAGTTTGGAGCAATTAGAAATTAGTTCATAGTGCTGCTAGGAATGTTTTTGTACATGTTTTGGTGAATGCCAGGTATATACTCCCACTGGGGACGAGTCGAATTACTGTATATTTATGTTCAGCTTTAGTAGATAGTGCTAAACATTTTTCCACAGTGGTTGTACCAATTTATGCTTACACCAGCAGTGTAAGAGAACATGGGAAACCATGTTATGTAAACTGTCTGTCCCAGAATACAGGAAAAGATGAAAACTTCTAAATGCATTCTACAAGGATTCTATTACCTGATACAAAACTGAGAAAGTATAGAACAAAATAAAAAATATAGGTTAATGACATCTTTAAATGGAGATGTAAAGTTAATAAACTATTAGCAAACTGAACCTACAAATAATTTTTTTAAAAAAACAACCAAACCAGGACCAGAACGGGTTTATTCCAGTAACAGAAGCTATGCTCAAAAACTAGGAGGAATTTTGAATTGATGCATATGAATTTACCAATGTTAGTTACTATATAATTCATTAAATCCCAAATATATTTTTCGTTAATATAGTTCATTAAAATAGAAACTCTTGTTAATTCCTTACGAAGACTAGAGAAAAGCAGATAATCTCCAAAGCTGTCAAAAAAGCAGTTGACAGTAATCCATTCTCACTTTAATCAAAATTCTAGAAACAGAAAGATATAAAAGTCCATGCATCTCTCCTTCAGTCTACTTTTCGAGTTCATCGTCCATTATTACCTCACACACAGGCTAACTTCTGTTTCCTTGCTCCTCCACTTACTAGCTGTGCAGCCTTTGACAGGTTACTTAACCACTCTGTGCTGATTTCCTAAGGGTAAAATAAGACTACCTACCCTATGTAGTAAGGATCAAGTCCTCAATACACTATTGTTAATCACTTTTTAATGTCCAGAATTTGGTCATTAAACATTCCTTTGACTGGATTATGAGCACCTTGACAGCAGGGGCTAACGGTGGAAATTTCTGGAGACTTAAGAATGTTTGTTGAATCCTGATGCAAGCTTTCTCACCTTCCTGTGTTCTCTCATTCCGCCTCCTGTCAAGCCGTCTGTCCGCCTCTTGCAAGCCTAACCGGTCAATAACCATTCTTTACAACACTTTCTTTGCCCTCTTCTTACAGTGCTCATTACATTGTTTCGAGTACTAAATGAATATATAGTGTGTTGTCGTGTTTAACATCTAGGTCATAACCACTCATAATGTTAGAGTTTAAAAAGTTTCGTACGTTCCTCTAGGGCAGAACTGTGACGTATTTCTGGTTTCACATATTTATAGTGTCTACAAAGCACAGTGGCAAAGGCAGAGCTCGGGATGAGAACTGGGCTAAGAAAGGCGCGCCCCTCAACCCCCAAACCCTACTCTGAGAGCCCGGAGAGGTGCGGGCTCCGAAGGTGTGGTCGGCAAAATACGTAAAGGAGTGATTCCACTCACCAGTCACACCGTGGGGCGGGACAGCCCCATGTCGCAGTTTCTCATTATTCAACACAAAACCCAACGCGCTGGCAACAGATGCGTGTGCAAGACTGTTTGGGGGCGTTTGGCGCTTAATCTGGGGCAGGCGGAACCTTAGTCCTCATCCCTGAGTTTCCCGCGACTCTGCGCTCACCGCTACACCACCACACGGACGACCTCCTCCCCCCCCCCATCCCCCCCGGGGACCCATCCCGGTGGCGGGCTCCGGAGTTCGAGACTGCTAATTTCAGCGAAACGATTAACAGACGCCCCAACGGCTGACGGCACTGCCTCTCCTCCGGTAGGGAGGGGCGTGCGGCGTATGGTCACCGACGCTTCCCCGCCGGCGCAGAGCAGGCCCCACCGAGGCGCGCGCAGCCGGCACGCACGCCGCCCCGCCCCCCCGGCCCGTCGCCACCCGCGCGTTACGCTCGCTCGCATCCCCCGCCCTCGACCCCCGTGCCGTTGGAGGGGCCCGAGGCCAGCCAGAGAGCGCTGTTGGCCGGAGAGAAGCCAGAGGAGACCGGGTCGGCTGGGCGGAGCGGCAGAGGGTCGGGGAGACTGCCTAAACGCCCGGGAGTAGAAGCGGACGGGGGCAGGGTTACGTGAGGGAGCGCGCCGCCACTGAGCTTGGGTCCGACTGGAGCTCGGGGTCGGGACCCAGACTCGGGGGCCAGGTCCCCAAGCCGGCCTTACACCCGAGTCGAGGAGGAGAGACCGGACACAGAGGGACCGAGCGAGCAGGGAGACATGGCTTCATCATTCCTGCCCGCGGGGGCCACTACCGGCGACAGCGGTGGAGAGCTGAGCTCAGGGGACGACTCCGGGGAGGTGGAGTTCCCCCATAGCCCTGAGATCGAGGAGTCCAGTTGCCTGGCCGAGCTGTTTGAGAAGGCTGCAGCGCACCTGCAAGGCCTGATTCAGGTGGCCAGCAGGGAGCAGCTCTTGTACCTGTATGCCAGGTACAAACAGGTAAAGTAGCAGGGAAAGGGTGGATGGGGGAGAAAGACACGTGGCCTTCTTCCTCAAAAGCTGATAGCAAACATGTGTGGTTAATAGCTAGGTGTAATGAAGCTTGTGTGTATGTGTTTTGTTTGTTTTTTGACCATCTCCTCGAGATGAGCATCATCCTTGATGATGGAAAAAACGTGTTTGCTTTCCTAGGAGTGATATTTATTTAGCTGGACACTGAATGACAATTTTTCTGTTTCTTCTTTGACTTATTCAGTGATCTTGCACTTTACCAGCCTCAGAACCTTTACAAAATGAGGTTGATAAAATAAAATTTATCAATCATTTACTCTTTCCAAAGGGCCACATGGAAGTAAATATGGTAAAGTTAATAAAAATATATTGAGATCCCATAAGATAATATGATTGTAACAAATAATGTAATGCCATACAAAATACAGTATTACAACTTTTATTGTGATTTTTATAAAATCCTAAGTATCTTTGACTTATGTTTTCGTTGAATATGGCTTCCTTTTTGTTTGATACAATCCAAAAAATTTTAGAGCTATGAATGCCAGATGAAAGAATCCCCTTCTTTTACAGCGAAGGAAACTGAAGGTCATAGAGAGTAGGTAACTTGTGTAGGGTCATACAGATTCATCAGTCGGAACTGGATTGTAGCTCCTGACTCAGCCTAATGCTATGAACTATACCTGGAAATAGGGAGATGTATAGACATGTTTAATTTATAATTCACAGTGACATTGGCTAGGTACCAGAAGGAAAATAATTGCTTTATCATAATCAACATATATTTGTTTAGCAGCTTTTATGTGCAAGACACTTGATTATAATGCCTACAGAGAATGCAGAGAAGCAAAAATATGACACTTTTTTTTTTTTTTTTTAAAGAGAGCCTGGGTTGCCCAGGCTGGTCTTGAACTCCTAAGCCCAGGTGATCCATCTGCCCAAAGAGTTGGGCTTACAGGCATGAGCCACTGCACCTGGCTGACCCTTAACTTTTTTTTTTTTTTTTTTTTTTTTGACGCAGTTTCGCCCGTTGCCCAGGCTGGAGTGCAGTGGCTCGGTCTTAGCTCACTGCCACCTCCGCCTTCCAGATTCAAGCGATTCTTCTGCTTCAGCCTCCTGAGTAGCAGGGATTACAAGCGCGTGCCACTACACCTGGCTAATTTATTTATTAGTAGAGATGGGTTTCGCCATGTTGACCAGGCTGATTGCAAACTCCTGACCTCAGGCGATCTGCCTCCTAAAGATAACTAATTGACAGCTGTGAAAACTGGAGAGCAATGAAAATTTGTGAATTCCTGTTGACTTCATGAGATACTATTTAATACTTTTTTTTTTTTGAGATGGAGTCTTGCTCTGTCACCCAGGCTGGAGTGCAGTGGTGTGATCTTGGCTCACTACAACCTCTGCCTCCCAGGTTCAAGCGATTCTCCTGCCTCAGCTTCCCGAGTAGCTGGGATTACAGGTGTCTGCCACCGCGCCCAACTAATTTTGGTACTTTTAGTAGAGATGGGGTTTCACCATGTTGGCCATAGTTGACCAGGCTGGACTTAACCTGACCTCAGGTGATCTGCCTACGTTGGCCTCCGAAAGTGCTGGGATTACAGGCATGAGCCACCACACATTAATAATACTTTATTAAATGTTAACTGTTGTTTCAAGTCTTAAATTTTGTGTGATCAGATGGGAAGTACACAGTAACTTCTGCTGCATACAGAATTATGTTGACTATTTTGAGGAAAAGCACTTGTGTAATTTCTGAGTTGCAAAATGAACTATATTTCCATGGAAATCATTTTTACTTAACAACTCACAGATAATCATACCTACTCAGATTTGGGTATTTGGCATGTAGTTTTTTGAAAATGAATGAAATAAGCCTATTATATTTGTTGCCAGTTATACCATTTGAGCGTTCAAAGTGAAAATGAGAAATTTGGAAAATCAGGCCGGGCGCGGTGGCTCAAGCCTGTAATCCCAGCACTTTGGGAGGCCGAGGCGGGTGGATCACGAGGTCAAGAGATCGAGACCATCCTGGTCAACATGGTGAAACCCCGTCTCTACTAAAAATACAAAAAATTAGCTGGGCATGGTGGCGCGTGCCTGTAATCTCAGCTACGTGGAAGGCTGAGGCAGGAGAACTGCCTGAACCCAGGAGGCGGAGGTTGCGGTGAGCTGAGATCACGCCATTGCACTCCAGCCTGGGTAACGAGCGAAACTCCACTCAAAAAACAAAAAAAAAAAAAAAAAAAAAAAAAAGAAAGAAATTTGGAAAATCTGTATCTGCCACCATGAGCTTGAAGCTTCCTAGTACTTAAAAACTTTTTTTGATGAAATCAGTGGTGACAGTCATGAATGTGAACGTTTGCTATTATATCATGAAATGTGTCAACATTTGAAAAGTCTGTGTAACTCAGGAAACCATATTTTCTAAATATTTCATGGATTGATGTTACAAATTATGTGTTGGTAAAAGATGCCTTTCAAAGTGTAAGTCAGACCAATGGATTTCAGTGTTAACAGTATGAAAAATTCATTGATCTGAGTTCAGATTCCTCACTGCAACTGACCTTAAAGAAACAACCATCTGTTAGGTTTTGGCATAGTATCAAAGAAGAATATCTACAATTATTTGAAAATGCTGCTAAAATACTTCTCTTTTCTAACAACATATCTGTGTGAAGCCGAATTTTCTTCGTACACTTCAACCAAAACAACATATTGCAGTAGATTGGATGCAGCAGTAGATATGCAAATGCAACTGGCTTCTACTAAGCCAGACATTGAGGAAATTAAAAAATGTAAAACAGTGCTACTTTTCTCACTAATTGTTTTTAGACTATATAGTTATTTTGCATGAAATGTTATTTATGTTAACATCTAATGGGTTTATTATTTTTAAATGAAATAATACACATTTTAAAAATGTCTCAGTTTTAATTTCTAATATGGTAAATATTGATAGATACAACCCATGTAAATGATGGCTGTTTAGGATCCTTAATTTCTGAGAATACAAAGGGATTACAAGACTAAAAAATTTGAAAACTACTTCCCTGAGTTCCATTTTCATGGTCAGAGGTGGCTTACCTTCACCACATGTAAATTCTATCCAGAGCCAAGGGAAAGAGGAAGACAAGCTCCTTTTCTTTTTAAGGAAGGTATTTTAATCACTCTTATACACATCCAGTCCCCCGAACCCAGGCAGAAGTTGGATGGCCATGTGTAATGTGTAGCTGGATGATCCTGTGTCCAGCCTTCTGTTATTGTAGGAGAAATGGAGAAGAACTATTGGCATTTGTTTGTACAACTGGGTGGTGTCTGGATAAAAAATAAAAACAGTTATAACTGCTATTTTTATGATGTCTTAAAGCTTGTATAATTTATCTTATTTCATATTCCTTTTTTCTTTTTTTGAGATGGAGTCTCACTCTTGTTGCCCAGGCTGGAGTGCAATGGCATGTTGGCTCACTGCAACCTCCACCTCCCAGGTTCAAGTGGTTCTCCTGCCTCAACCTCTCGAGTAGCTGGGATTACAGGCACGCACCACCATGCCCAGCTAATTTTTTTGAATTTTTAGTAGAGAGGAGGTTTCACTATGTTGGCCAGGCTGGTCTGGAACTCCCGACCTCAGGTGATCCACCCACCTCAGTCTCCCAAAGTGTTGGGATTACAGGCTAACAATCTGGTAGTTAATGTGATTTTAGACAGTGCAGAATGGAAGCCCAGACTCTATTTAGGATTTAAGGCAGAATGATGTAGTAAAGAAATATTGAACTTTGGAGTCAAACACTCTTGGATTTAAATCCAGACTGCTGATTCAGGATTTATTAATGTGTGAACTGAGACAACCCTCCTGAGTTTCTCTATCCTCATTTATAAAATGAGTTTGTAATGGCATACCTAGCAGGATTATTTTTTGGCTCATTCGAGATAAAATATGTAAAGTGTTTGGTCCATGGTGATTCTTCAAGAAATGTCTGTGATTTCTTGAAAAATCAAGAAATTCTCAAGTGATTCTTCAACAAAGCCTCCTTCTGTCTCACCCTTTGTTCTCTCCATTCCATGGTAACAGGGCTACTCCTATGTAAGTATACATTTTAATAACAGCAGAGGGCCATGTGATTAATCGCTAAGCAAACGATAGAGGTGGTAATTGATATGAATTCAGAGGTAGGTGAGATCATTATAGACTGAAAGGGTTCTTAGAATCTGAAATTTGAGTAGAACTGGAAGGATGCGCATCTTGCTTGAAAAGCTGAGGAAGGGGCTGGGCCTCCCAAAGTGCTAGGATTACAAGGGGGCACGGTGGCTTACACTTGTAATCCCAGCACTTTGGGAGGCCGAGGTGGGTGGATCACTTGAGGTCATGAGTTCGAGACCAGCCTGAGCAACATGGAGAAACCCCCGTCTCTACTAAAAACTACAAAAAATTAGACAAGCATGGTGGTGCATGCCTGTAATCCTAGCTACTTGGGAGGCTGAGGCAGAAGAATTGCTTGAACCTGGGAAGCGAGGTTTCGGTGAGCTGAGATCGCACCCTTGCACTCTAGCCTGGGCATCAAGAGCGAAACTCCCTCTCAAAAAAAAAAAAAAAAAGAAAGAAAAGCTGAGGAAGGAAGAAAAGGCATTTTAGGTGAGTGGAGTCACAAGCAAAACCCTGAACTAGGAATCCCTAAGGGAGTGAGTAGATCATTCTGGTTAGATGAAGGCATCAGTTAGATTTTAGCAGAATTCAAGTGTGTAAAAATAATGGGTGACAGTGGGAAAGTCCGTGAGAAGTAGATAGGTGCTGTGGATGAGTTAAGAACAGTTAGTTACAGGCTCTATTCTAACAGAAAGATGAGACTTTACAGAAAACTTTCTAACACATGGTGCAAAAAGTGTAAAGTACCATGGAAGATATATAGAGTAAATGATAAAAGAGTTCATGAGGAAGGAAGATTACTTCTGGCAGTGGGAACTGGGGGCTGTATAGTGAATTCTGCACTTGTTTGAATTTCACTTATGCTTATTCTCAATGAAAATACTATACAGTTTACAAATGTCATGTGAGGATTAAAATTAATGAAAATTAAGTATTGACCACAAACAAGAGGTAAGACTGTTGTAGAAAAATAGAATTTTTTTGTTGAAAACCCCTGAAATTTTTTTGCATGGCTTTTGGCATCCAAATTTATATTGATGAGTTTTCATAATAGGGCACTTTAAAAGTAGTACACTTATTTCCTGGAATTTTGGAGAGAGGAAATGCTAATAGAGTTACAAGAATCAGCATGAAGAAATTATATTATGAATTCTGATAAATACCGCTGAAGCTTATTAATTGTATGTTAAAACATTCTTTTACTTTATAAATGATAAGGAAGAGTATATAATCTATATTGATAACTTGTCTTACATATAATTAGTCTAGGAAATGTAACCGTTTATCCCTGTTTTTCTCTATTACAGTATTAGATAATAGTTCTTTTATGCAGTAAACCAAAGTAGGCTGTATGTAAAGCTTGATTCTGGTTGGTTTTTTTTGTTGTTGTTGTTTGCTTTTGCAAAGAATGTTAAATTTTGCTGTTCCATATAGATGCAAATATTTTCCAACCTACAGTTACTAAATATACATAATACATTTGAAAAGGAAAAGTTTCCCAGACATTTCTTTGAAAAATAAGTTCTTGATTTTCCCTGTTTCATTTAGGTCAAAGTTGGAAATTGCAATACTCCTAAACCAAGCTTCTTTGATTTTGAAGGAAAGCAAAAATGGTAAGAAATTCTTGGAATCTTTAATGAGGTTGTTGGAAAGGGTTTAGGTGGTAAGGAACTAGAAAGCAGTGAGCTGATTAAAGAATTATTTTTATATTAATCTCTCTGCCGTAGACTGTACTAGTGACAGGTAATTGGGAGAGAGATTAAAGAAATCTACTTTTAGCTAAGCCTCCTGAAGGATTCTTATGCTCACATGTTGGAATATCAGTGGTTCACAACAGACCTACAGACATGCCTTACATTTTAATACATGAGAGAGTAACTGTGAGAGCTCTTGCTTGAGATTTTCCTTTTCTATCATTCAGCCCCTAATGGATCACCACTTCTCCCCCCTGGAGGGATCTTTGGACGAAGGCCAGAACGATAGGAAGGGCAGAAGAGCAGGATAAATCCCCATTTTTTACCCTTCTCCCCTGTCTCAATTTTATCTCCTTGTCTCTTGCTACTCTTGTGTTCCTTGCCCCACTCATGCCACTGTAATTAAGTGCACATAGTACTCTTGGGAAGAAGGGGGAAAAGTTCAGTGAGAAACCAAAACTAGATACTAACTTCGCTTTTTCTTTGAATACGTTAAAAAAAAGATTAATCTTCTGCAAACTTTTTAAACTTACAATTCAGAAAATTCCTCTAGTCATTTATGAGACCTTATCTTCTCTTACCTTGCCTAAGTGGAAAAAGAGAAATTGCATACAACTGGGAATCTTAGTTATAGAAAGGAAGGCTTTGGAGCATCAGCCCTGGAATGAAAAGAAGGTTATAAGGTAGAGTTAAAAAAGAAAAAAGATAAAATATGGTTATGGAGAGAGGAAGTGCTAAAATACGGGTTCTGACCTTGCATTCTGGAACAGTCCCACACAAAATCTGGTCCCCTTGATAAATTTCCTGCCTGCCAACAGTTTGTTACCCAAATGTAAGGAGATACAGGGCTTAAACCCATATATAAATCACTTATGTCACTAACCATACTGTTTAGTTCAGCTGATATATTTTTGTATAGGACTGTCTCAGTGCAGGAAGCAGTGCATTGATTATATTCTTGCACAAGTTTTTTGATTGATGATAACCAGCAGTTTTCTGGCATTTTATTACTAAATACCTGATGTTAACTTTTACTGTGAGGTTTTTGTTATAATTTATGAAATTTTATGGCTTCATTTTTTTCCTATACTTTGCCTGTTTCTCCATTGTTTTTAGCAATTAAGAACATTAGATTTTATAGCCATCATAATAATAGTTTAGGCTAGAACATCAACAAATGCTAAAATGGTAGATGACAAAATACGAGGGAAATATTGGGGAAAAACTATTGAGGCAATCCGTTGTTAAAATGCTAGGTGAAAAACTACTGGGGAGCAAAACTGTAGGTTACAGGCTGACCCACAGTTTGCTTTTTTATTATGAGGAAGAAACCTGACAGATACTGCCTTTACCAAGCCATGAATCTTACTGATGATGGGACAGACTGACCGATGCATCAGATTACAGTGCATCAGACCAGTGAGGTGCATTGTAAAGGTCTTGTCACCTATATATGGCTCTGCTGAAATAATTTAACCTGGTTCTAATTATGATTGATCATTTTTGGCAAGAACACTATGTAGATGGGGAAACAATTAGACAAATTCAAATTGAGGGATATTTTATAAAACAGTTGGACTCTTAATACCAACAATATGGAAGACAAAAAAGCTAAAGATGCATGAAACTCAGTGCTGTGTGTGGATCTTGATTGGTTCCTGGTGTGGAGAAGAAAGCCATAAAGGACATTATTGGGACAATCAGGAAAATCTGAACGTATAGCCTCTATAATAATATTGATGGTAAATTTCCTGAGTTTGTGTAAGCTGATCTATTTAGGGATGAAGTGTTATGATGCATATAAGTAACTTGCAAGGAATTTAGTAAAATTTAGAAGACCTTAGAAAAATATATTCATTATAGAAGGAGGAAGGTAATGAAAAAAATGTGGGACTGAGTTCTGTTTGACAGTGAATCAAGGAAATAGAGAAACCCTGGTTGGAATTAGAAATAATTGGCAGCGAAAAACCAAGAAGAAGGCCTGTCCTAGCAGCCTGCAGGAAAAAAAAAAAAAAGAAAAAAAGTGTGACCCAAAAGGGAGTTCACGACTAAAATGTCGCTTTTGACATGTATACTGTAGGAAGTCCCTAACTTACTAATTAGTATTCTGTTGTTGTTGTTGTTGTTTTGAAACAGAGTCTTGCTCTGTTGCCCAAGCTGGAGTGCAGTGGTGCCATCTCAGCATACTGCATCCTCCGCCTCCCAGGTTCAAGCAATTCTCCTGCCTCGGCCTCCTGAGTAGCTGGACTACAGGTGTGCACCACCATGCCCAGCTAATTTTTGTATTTTTAGTAGAGACGGGGTTTCACCATGTTGACCAGGCTGGTCTCGAACTCCTGATTTCAGGTGATCCACCCACCTCAGCCTCCCAAAGTGCTGGGATTACAGGTGTGGGTCATTCCTTACTTTTGAAGTCCCAGTCTAAGTTCTCAGGATCAGTTGATTGTAGCTTATAGATGAGATAACAGCAGAAAGGGAAGGTGGATTTCTTGTATCTTAAGTAAGAAGTTTGATCCATTTTCCTCAGGAATGTGTTTTTTATGTGATATTTAGTTTCTATACGACGAAAATGCCGTAAGCACAGTTAATTTATGAGAACAATCTCTGTTAGCCTGTAGACCATACATTCTCAATAGGTGTGAAAATTGGTTTGAGGGAGTGACAGAATCTTAGATTACAGTGGTTTGTAGTCTTTCAGAATTTAATAGATAAGCAGTGTATCTGTGTTATTAAAATTTCATAGGGGAGGGCGATTAGGACAAAAAAATGTTTGAAAAGGCTTCCTAAGTAGGGCAATAAAGTCTGTATAGCTCTAGACCAATGTACATGCAGAAAGACAGAACTCCTCTATCCAATAGCTTATTATCTCTGTATCCCAAGACCCTTGAAATGTGCATACAATTTTTTTAATAATAAGAAAAATGCTGTTTGTGTTATTTGCATAGTTAATGACAGGCCATTTTGGATATTCCATATTGTAGGGAAGCATGGAAAGCACTTGGTGATTCAAGCCCCAGCCAAGCAATGCAGGAATATATCGCAGTAGTTAGAAAGCTAGATCCAGGTTGGAATCCTCAGGTAAGACTTAATGATTGTAAATAATACTTTCCAAAAACTTAGGATCTTTCTCTGAAATAAATGTTTAAACCTAAGCTTAGTTTTAAGTAACATGCTTTAAGTTTTACTTTCTTGAAAGAATATAAGGTTATTGTAATATTTATCTAATAAAATAATTGCTGGCTGGGTGTGGTGGTTCGTGCCTGTAATCCCAGCACTTTGGGAGGCCAAGCTGGGTGCGTCACCTGAGGTAAGAGTTCAAGACCAGCCAGGCCAACATGGCGAAACCTTGTCTCTACTAAAAATATAAACATTAGCCAGATGTGATGGTATACACCTGTCATCCCAGCTACTCGTGAAGCTGAGGCAAGAGACTCTCTTAAACCTGGGAGACTGAGGCTGCAGTGAGCCAAGATCAGACCACTGCACTCCAGCCTGGACAACAATGTGAGACTCCATCTCAGAAAAATTGAAAACATTAATAATAATAATTTAAATAGTAACATAACCACCTGCTAATGCTGAGAACTTTTCGGAGTTGCAGAGTTTTTGAAAGCAGAAAAATTTGAATTATGTAAGAATTGGAAAAAGTTTAACTTGAGATTATCATTATGCTGGAAAAAAGAAAGTTACTCTTGGATTTCTTTTTTATGATCACCTTTTATGCAAGGACAAAATGCTTCTTATTAGGGAATAAAGATGAATAAGACATGATTTCTGCCATCATGTAGTTTAAAGTATAATAGAGAAGATAAAACATATCAAAAATATGTCTAATACTATAAAACAATAATAATGTGAATGCTAGGGAGTCCAGCAGGAAGAGAGATTGCTTTGGACTTTGGAAGCATTGGATGTTGTTTACTTAAATGTACCCCGTTTTTCTGATACACTTATTGGAGAACATCTAGAAAGAATTTAATAAAGGAGGGGTTACTATCTAAGAATATTGTTAAATGATTAACAGGTATTTCAGTGAGATAGAGGCTGCATTGTACCATGTAAAAAATGCAAATTGAATTTTTTCAATAAAAGTTAGGCTGGGCCAGGCGTGATGGCTCATGCCTGTAATCCCAGCACTTTGGGAGGCCTAGGTGGGTGGATCACGAGACCATCCTGGCCAACATGGTGAAACCCTGTCTCTCCTAAAATACAAAAATTAGCTGGGTGTGGTGGTGCACGCCTGTAGTCCCAGCTACTCAGGAGGCTGAGGCAGGAGAATCACTTGAACCCAGGAGGTGGAGACTGCAGTGAGCTGAGATCGCACCATAGCACTCCATCCTGGGCAAAAGAGGGAGACTTTTTCCAAAAAAAAAAAAAAAAAAAAAAAATGTAGGCCAAACATTTTAGCAGTTAATGAATTTAACAAGTTTTAATATTTTTGTAATAATTACATAATTGCATGAGTGCATAGTTGTTACTGGTATGAAGGAATTGTTCCATTAATCATGGAATCTTAAAAATCTCAGACTTGTTAGGAACTTTAAAAGATTATACGTTATGGCATATTAAAAACATATCTTAAGAATACAAAGTGGAAGAGATAACCAACTTTGGATATCTTTAATGATATGACTGCCTTTTAGAAGTCATTGAAAAATTTCCTTTTTTTTGGTGACAGGGTCTCACTACTCTATCACCCAGACTGGAGCACAGTGGCGGAATCTTTGCTCACTGTATCCTCTACCTCTCAGGTTCAAGTGATTCTCCCACTTTAACCTTTGGGACTACAGGTGCGCACCACTACACCTGGCTAATTTTTGCATTTGTGTGTGTGTGTGTGTGTGTGTATGTATATATACATACACATACAAACTATATAGATACAAAAATACAAAAATGGCTAATTTGTGTGTGTTTGTATGTATATAT